ATTTTTTGGCTGAAAGCAATAGTTGACCGTTTTTCAGAAAGCTTCAAAGCGACAGTTGTCATGGAGAAGCCCCGATGGATATTTTTAACTAAATCCACTGACAGTGCATTGACAGCCAAAAAGCAAATAATGTCCGACGTGTCGGTAATAGACCAAAACATCCTCTGTGCAGGTTAACCATAGGTTTTTACTTTCCACAGTTACGATCGATGTAGCAAGCAAGAGCCGGAAGATTCACCGTTTTGTAGAAAACTGCGATTCGTTTCGAAAAATATTTTGGCCAACCGAGCCGCCATTCATGAATCTTTAAACGAACATTAACGAGACCATACATGCGGGTTATGACCATTTTGTCAGTGTCATCAAAACTGCCGTTAGAACCTCAAACCGGAAATGAAGTAAACTTGAAACCAAGCATCAGCACTTCAGCAAGAAGCTGATAGTTAGACGAGCTAAAATGAAAAAGGATTATGAATGCAGTGCATCTTGCAAGGGATTGCGAAAGAAGGTGAAAAAGATTACCGAATTTGCAGGAGAATTCGTTTTAAAGAGGCTACGAAGCGAGAAAGCGAGAAAAATAGCCTGTAAGTGGTGAAACGAGAAATTTGCTTAGGAAACCTGATTCAATTCGCCCTGAAAGACGAAGTAAGTGCAAGAACTTTTTATTGCTATCAGATGAAATCGATCTACACCAGGTTCTACAACAATCTTTCATGTTGCTCAGAAATTGTTCCTAAAGTTACCTGGGACGAAATTGAATGGACAAATGTGATATAAGACCAGAACACCTTAAAGCAGAAGGAAAAATCTTGTTTAAAGCATTTACAAAACGTTCTACGGAGTACTTCAGGCAAAACAGGGCAACTGAAGTGTGGAAGGCATCAAGAGTGATTCTTCTCATGAACAAAGGCTGCTCCGAAAACCTCAAGAACTATCTACCAAATACTCTTGCGTTACAAATTTACGAAGTCCTAATCCGTGTCGTTCTCAGCCTTATTCAGAAAGTCTTCGAATAGTCGTAAATCGAAAACTGTTCGGTTTTCCACTATCGACCATATGCATGTCATCCAAGAGAAATGCAACGGATAGCAAGTGCCATGCTGACTTGCTTTCATCGACTGTAAGAAGACGTTAGATTCGATAGAATTGGCGACTGTGTTTAACGAACATGGCATAAAACCTTTTCCTCAGCCTGACTGAAGAACTGATTAAATAATGACTGCATAACTGGCATCAAGCCGTTCAACGAAACCGGTCGCGAAGGAATCAATATCCGTCATTGAATGTTCCAACGAGATGCAATTTCAGCAATGTTCTTCACTTTGACAATGGAGTAATTTCTTAACCTGTCATAATGGCACAAAGGCATCAGTATTGATGAAGAGCTGCTGACGCATTTGTTATTTGCAGACGACTGCATCGTCTTCATACAAAACGCAGTGGTGCTTCAATGGTAGATCCAGCAGTTACAAAAACAGTCTTTAGCTATCGCTTTGGAAGTTAATCTATCGAAAATGAAACGGATGCGAAACAAGTGATGTCTGGAGGGCTTTATTTGCGCGAATATCTCGCCAGCTATGTGCACGGCAAGATAGACCGCATCAACACGTTAGACGAGACAGTAAGTTTTTGTTAACAGTAGCTACTACTCTTTATTAATCTCAGGATAATGATCACAATTGTTTAGTTTCTAAATAGTGCTACGATGAGATACGTATGACTGTACGTTGGCCGTTATTATGGTACTAGCTGATGGTTCGATGGGTAGACATTTTATTACAATAATATACAGGTGGCGCTGCTGACGGTATAGTAGAAGTACTGCAACCATATGGTTGGAGTAGCACTGTTAACCAGAGCTCTTCACATACATAACTTCGATACTTCATCTACCGATATTATTGTTATTGTAGTGCTGGTATTATTAACTTGTTATAACATAGTATGCGTATTTACAGAAGCTAGTCGCTGTTAATATTTGTTTCACATAGCATGAACTGCTAATTGCTGTTAATACGCACCCTAAGCTTCTGGAAGCAAATATGAGCAGTTGTTTGGTACGCGTGCTAGTGCACGGTAGTAAAGTGTAGTACCATTCTATTCCTTTGGTAAAATGCCATGGTGATTTTAACTTGCTAGCATCGGTTGTAAGTGCATGGCAAGGGTCCAGACTTTTGATTACTGCTGAATGTTTATACGCATTTGTTTAGCTCCTAAATATATAGTGTTAATTATGACTGTAGTTCATTTGTTACTATTTCGCTGGTGCATAATACGAATGGTAAAACGAGTATTACAGTAATATAGAGTTAGTATTAATAGCAGCATTATGGTAGCACCGCC